TGATAAATTTTTTGTTGTATATTTCTTTTCTTTTTTTTTAAGATTTTATTTATTTATTTGACAGCGAGACAGCAAGAGCGGGAACACAAGCAGGGGGACTGGGAGAGGGAGAAGTAGGCTTCCTGCCAAGCAGGGAGCCTGATGTGGGGCTCGATCCCAGGACCCTGGGATCATGACCTGAGCCGAAGGCAGATGCTTAATGACTGAGCCACCCAGGTGCCCCTTGTTGTATATTTCTAAAAGTCTTAAAAATAACCACAATATTGGGATGCCTGGGTGGCTCAGTTGGTTAAGCGCCTGACTCTTGATTTCGGCTCAGGTCATGATCTCAGGGTTGTGAGTTACAGCCCCACATCCGGCTGGGCCTGGAGCCTGCTTAGGATTCTCCCTCTCTCTCTGCCCTGCCACCCCTGCATGCACGAGCTCGCTCGCTCTCTAAAAATAAATAATAAAAAGTAAAACCACAATACCATTATGATTCTTGAAAAATTCACAGTTATTCTTTAATATCATCAGACCTCCATCCAATGTTCATTTTCCCCAAATATTTGTTCATTGATTTATTTTGCAGTTTATTTTTCAAACAGTTTTTTAAAATTCCAGATCTAAATAAGGTCTGTAAACTGCAGTTGTTGATATGTCAGTTTTGTCTTTATCAATCTGTAGGTTTCCCTTTCTGGCTCTTTTTCTTCTTTTCCTTGGAATTTATTTGAAGAAACTGGGTCATTTATTTTATAAAGCTTTTCACAGTCTGGATATTGCTGGTTATATCCCCATGGTGTCTTTTAACATATTCCTCTGCCCTTTGTACTTCTTGCAAATAGATAGTTGGAGCCAGAGACTTAAACAGATTCAGATTTGATTTTGTGGCAAGAATATTTTATAGGTGGTGCAGTGTTATTCTGTCATGGGATACATCGTGTCTGGTTGTCTGTTTGCCTTTGGTTGATTAGGGGGTGAAAATAGTGATATTAAAATTCTTTATTCCTTTCTTCATTTCTCCTGTGTCTTTTTTTTCCTCCACCAGTAGCATTTAAGCATCTCATTTGGTTGAGAAAAACCTTTTAACATTTCCAGCTATTTCTAAAGATACTTATTTATGGTACTGTCTTTACTTCATCTCCCTGCACTTATCAGACATTTATATATGGTTTCTGTATGTTCAACCATATCCTTCTCGTTTTACTGAAACCATTCTCATCAAGGTTATCAGTGGGCTCTATACGGAATGGAGCAGACCCATTTCAGACCTTATTTTGCTTAGTAGTTGGATAATGTTGGCTACTGTTGATTGCCACTTCTTGAAATATTCCTTGGCTTCTGTGATGCACTCTTTCCTGTTTTTACTTTTACTTCTTTAACTGCTTTCTCTCAGCCTCAGTTGTAGACTTTTTTTTTTTAGGTGTTGGTCTTGTTCTGCTTGGCTCTAGCCTAGGCCCTCTGCTCATCTAGTTCTGCGCATTCTCCATGGGTCCTCCATTGTCATGGTTTCAGTTACACCATCTCTAAAATGATAAGTGCCAAATCATTTTTTGGTTTTTGGGTTTTGGGTTTTTTTGGTAGGTTGGTTCTCTTCAGAGCTCACTTGTTTGTACTATTTCCTACTAAAAATCTCGCAGGCACCTTTGAATCAACTATACCTAAAATGGAATGAATCATAACTTTCCTCATCCCCTCACACATAGGAGTTTCCTGTTCAACATAGTTCTAAGCCAGAAGTCTCTGGAAGTTATCCTTGACTCCTTGCTTGACCCTTCTCACACCTTGCTGCTCAAATCTAGTCACCAGTCACGTAAGACTTACCTGGTTAATAATTTAAATTCAAGTAATTCTCTTCATTTCACTGCTGCTATACTAGTGTGAATCCCTATCATCTATCCCCTTCATTACTGTAAGCGTCCTGTCTGGTCTGTTCCTTTCCTGTCTTTCTGGTCCATTTTTAACTATGTGAGTAAGAGTGATTTTTCTGAAAAACATATCTAATGGTTCCCCATTGCCCCTAGGATAAATGGAAAGACCTGAGCTTGTTTTATGATCTTCATCCTGAGTCATCGCCTCCTATGTAATACTTGTTCTGCTTTTGCACTGGTGGTTTTTTGTTTGTTTTTAGATTTTATTTATTTGAGAGAGAGCAAGGGGAAGGGGCAGAGGGAGAGAATCTCAAGCAGACTCCACACCTAGCACAGAGCCCAATGTGGGGCTTGATCTTATGATCCTGAGATCATGACCTAAGCTGAAATCAAGTTGGATGCTTAGCCAGCTGAGCCACCCAGGTGCCCCTTTTTGCACCGTTTTAACTGACTGTTAAACGGTGTGACTGGCATAGCACGAAAAAGGTACTCAAGAAACAGTCTTTGTCTCTTCTATCCATGATGTGTCTCTTGATAGGTGGTCCCACAGGCCCTTCATTAGATGTTAATTTCATTTTATTTAGAGGATGATTTCCTGTTTCTTTCAAGTGTCCCTGCCAACAGAATTTTGTATGTACCAGTAGTCTGCATTTTAAATATATTTTCTAAACACAGTGGAAATTCTTTCTAGCTATTTTTTGTACAGTGTGAGAAGATAAACTGAACTTACTTTTTTTTTGTAAAATAGGAGATTTAAAGAATAATTCTTTAAGAAAAGAAATAGTTTTTTATTTTTCTTAACTTTTACCTACATTTACTCTGATTAAACTGATCACAATACTTTTTAGGTGTTATATAGAAATTGATTTTACAGTGTTACAAATACAAGGAAAGAGCTCTGAAATACTGAGTAATATTATCCAAAAACTGGGTTAGAGAATTGGATTAGTGTATGAGCACATAGACTTTAGGGTAGTCCATTCAGTTTTTTATTTTGAAAACAGGTGCTTTTAAAGAACACAAAATAAATTGAAATAACATGAAATTGTTTCTTGATTAAATGCATTGGTTAAGAGGGCATGTGTTTGCTGAATACTTTTTTACATAATATCAACTATTCTAAGATTATTACTGACATATTCAGTCTTGAAGATTACTTCAGTTATGATTTTTTAAAAGATTTCAATTTAAAGTAATCTCTCTACCCACCATTGGGCTCGAACCCACAATCCTAAGATCAAGAGTTGCATGCACCACCAAATAAACTAGCCAGGTGCCCCAATTTTTTTTACTTTGAGGGAGAGTTACAGTCTAGAGAAGTTATATGTTAATATTTGAAATATAATAAAATTGGTATCAATATTTTCTGGCAGGTGACATGGTTGGGCATGGGTAAATTTGAAAATAATGCTGTTTTGGCTCAGTAAACTATTAAAGGTAGTTTAAAATATATACTAATATTACAACATTGATTATAACAGAAAACATCTAATATTCATATTAGCATTAAGTAAACCTTGTCTTTGAAAGTGTATACTGCAAATAGTAATTTAGAAATAATTTAAATTCTAAGTGAAAGAAATTATCTTCTCTCTCTCTCTCTCTCTCTCTCTCTCCCCTCCCCTTAGGTGGAATGAACCCTATTTGTTGACTATCTCCTGATTACTGGTTGGATTCACTTGTAAAAGAATCGTCTTCCCCTGTGTGGACGCCACTTAGTGGCATATTTAATTATAAATCCAGGGATCACAAAGCTTTCTGATTTTCCCAAAGGAGGGACATACCACTATATCAAAGAAGCTTGATATTACAGCCAAAATGGTGCTGTCCCAGAGACAACGAGATGAACTGTAAGTTTCTCGGTTTTGTGTTTTTTAAAAAATCTTCTCATAAAAGACAAAGCAGTGAATTAAAATACAGCTTTGGGAGATCTATTCTTAGATTAAAACTACTACTGTAAGTGTTCAAATATTGTTTTGGGCAGTTTGGTCTGATTTTAAAACTGGGTCTTTGAAGTAGTGTTATTTACCCTTGTGACTTTATTGTGTAGAAGTTTAAAGCAGAACAAATAAGTTAGTTTAAAGCAGAACAAATAAGGTAGTTGGGATAAGTTTTATTCTAAGCTTGTCTTAAATATATTATGTTCAGTAGGAAAATAGATCATTCAAAGCTCTTCTAAATTTTTTTTTTTTTAAGATTTTATTTATTTGAGAGAGAATGAGATAGAGAGAGAGAGCATGAGAGGGGGGAGGGTCAGAGGGAGAAGCAGACTCCCCGCCGAGCAAGGAGCCCGATGCGGGACTCGATCCAGGGACTCCAAGATCATGACCTGAGCCGAAGGCAGTCGCTTAACCAACTGAGCCACCCAGGCGTCCCGCTCTTCTAAATTTTTTGGTCTAGAATATGTGTTTTAGAAAAGTGAGGGGCACCTGGGTGGCTCAGTCGTTAAGCGTCTACCTTCGGCTTGGGTCATGATCCTGGGGTCCTGGGATCGAGCCCCGCATTGGGCTCCCTGCTCGGCGGGAAGCCCGCTTCTCCCTCTCCTACTCCCCCTGCTTGTGTTCCTGCTCTCGCTGTCTCTCTCTCTGTCAAATAAATAAATAAATCTTTAAAAAAAAAGAAAAATGAAAGCTTTTTTGTTGTTACTGCTAATTTCCTTTCCTTTGCCTTATTGTATTTTTTTATCTTTTGTCATTCAGGGGCTATTAGAGGATTTGAACTCTATGAGGTAGATAACATACTAGTTAATGTAAATGCATTAATGAGAGAGGCATAAAATGATTTCACCACTGATATTTGATAGTATCTTATAGCATCCCATATTTTCTAGCATTCTGTTTTTTTAGGTGAAGAATATAGAGGAATAATTTAGCTTCATGTTCTAGATTTTTAAAAAATTTTTCTGTTGCTTTTTACAAAACTGTTTATTTGGAAATAATTTCAAATTAAAGGTAAGTTCTAAGATTGGTACAAAGAATACTTAATGTACATTTTATCCACTTCACCTGTTTTGTACCATTTTGTACTATTTGCTTTATCATTTGTACTCTATACAAATGTGTGTGTGTGTGTGTGTGTGTGTGTACATGCAGTATTTTTTCCTGAACCATTTGAGAGTAAGTTGCATACACCAAGGATCTTTACCCCAGATACTTGGGTGTGCAGTTCCTAAGAATAAGGATATTCTTCTATAAAACCACAGGACAGTTAGCAATTTCAGCAAATTTAACATTGACATAATACGTTTATTGAATCTACTTTCCATATTCCAATTTTGTCAGTTGACCCAATAATATCCTTTGTTGCAGGGTTGTTGGGTTTCTTTTTTCTCTCTATCATTCCTTTCTAGTACACTGTCCAGTACAAGATTAGGTAATGTATTTAGTTGTCATTTCTCTTTAGTCTTTATTTTTTTTTAAAGATTTATTTCTTTATTTGAGAGATGGAGAGAGAGAGAGAGAGAGAATCTCCAGCAGACTCCCCACTGAGCACGGAGCCCAATGGGGGCTTTATTATTTGAGAGAGAAAGAGAGTACAAGCCAGAGGGGCAGAGGGAGGAGAAAGAATTTCAAGTAAATTCCATGCAGAGCCCACTGTGGGGCTCGATCTCAGGACCCTGAGATCACGGTTTGACCCAAAACCAAGAGTCCGACACTCAATCTGTGCCACCCAGGCGTCCCTAGGACAATATTTTTGAGGAATGGTTGTTTGTTTGGGTTTTTTTAAATAGTATATTCCTCATTTTGCAGCTGTCTAATGTTTCTTCATGATTAGATTCAGATTATGTATTCTTGGCCAGAATACTACATAAGTAATTTGTATTCTTATCAGGATATCCTGTCTAGAGACACATGTGTATCTACCTCCCAGTGGTGATGCTAATTTTGATCCCTCAGTCAAGATGCCTGATTTCTCCACTGTATAGTTACATTTATTTTCTTTTCAACAAATATAAGTAGGGAGACATTTTAAGACCATGCAAAACATTTTTTTTAAAGATTTATTTATTTATTTATTAGAGAGAGAGAGAGAGAGAGAGCATGAGAGGGGGAGGGGCAGAGGGAGAAGCAGACTCCCTGCCGAGCAAGGAGCCCGATGTGGGACTCGATCGCGGGACTCTAGAATCATGACCTGAGCCGAAGGCAGTTGCTTAACCAACTGAGCCACCCAGGCGCCCAACATTTTTTTTTTTTTTTAAGTTTATTTATTTGAGAGAGAGCAAGAGACTGGGATGGGGGGTGGGTAGAGGGAGAAAATCTCAAGCAGACTCCCCATGAGTGTAGAGCCTGATGCAGGGCTTGATCCCACAACCCCGAGACCATGACCTGAGCCGAAATCAAGAGCCAGGCAGTTAACTGACTGAGCCACCCAAGCACCTCCATGCAAAACATTCTTATTTCCATCAAATTCCCCAACTAGATTTAACATCCATTGATAATTCTTGCCTGAACCATTTTTTATGCAGAGTGATGATTTTCCTACACAACTACTCATTCCACATTACTAGTCATCACTCAGCATTTTCTTTATTCCTTTTTATTTAGTTGTTTTTTTCATTATTGGTATGAACTCCTAAGTTCTCATATTTTCAGTAGTTTTTATCATTCATTACTTTTCTTATACTTTTGGTGTTATGACTATTCCAGACTGGCCCATAGGAGCCTCTTCAGGTTGCTCTAATTTATTGCCTTATTTGTGGACACTTTCTTACTTTCTAGCATAACAAGGTGGTCCATGCTTATGTATACAAGGTGGTCCATGCTTATGTGTACCCTTCCTGCCTTAATCCTAGAATCAGTCGTTGCTCTAATAAGCCCTGGTTCCTCTTAGTAGAGAATGGTATTAGACATCAAGATATGGGTACTAAGTATACTTCTTGCTATGGGGTGTCTGCTTCTGGGCTCTTTAAGTAGACAGAACCAAGAAATATGTATGTATAAACATATACAGACACCCTGGTACACATGTGTACTAAGGTTTCTCAGTCTTGGCATTATTGACCTTGACATCTTGGGCTAAATAGTTCTTTGCTGTGGGATCTGTCCTGTGCACTGTCAGTTGTTAGCAACATCCTTGGCCTCTACCCACTAGATGCCACAATAAAAAATGTCTCCAGACATTGCCAACTCTCCCTGGGGGGGGGGGGGGTGCCAAATCTCCCTGAGTTGAGACCCACTGATATGTGTTATTTTAGAAATCATACTTATTTTAGAAATCATTAGGCTATCCCGATACTTCTAAATCCAGTCTATTCCCACAAGGTTCTTTCTTGTTTTCCTCCCCACCATCTCTTTCTCCTTCTATAGTTAAGACCTGACTCCCAGCAATATCAACACATTGACTCATTTGCTCAATCCTATAATACTTCCAGAATAGTTTCAGAATTGTTACACTCTTACCACCTCAGAAAACAAAGCTTCCTGGAAAGGGTTTAGAATTTGTATTCAGTTTTCCTCCCATCCATTCTGCCCGAGACTGAAAATATATAATTGAATACTGTGTTTGTAAGTTACTTGGATTAGTTTTGTTTCTCTCCCTCTCCTGTGGCTATATTATTCGTTTGAAATTTAGTTGGGTTCATCTGTTCCAGTTTTTCAGTTTTGTGTGTTTTGCATTTCCTCTTCTTTCCCATCCTTGTTAATTTAATATTTTGAATATGTAGAACATTATCTGTACAAAAATGTATACTCAGGAGTATTACTCTCTCCTGAATCCCTTCTACGAAGTTACTCCCTCCTTGCCCCCTGTAAGAACCAACTTTATTCACTGTTGAATAAAGGTAAGAGAGGGGCACCTGGGTGGCTCAGTCAGTTAAGCATCCAACTCTTGATTTTGGCTTAGGTCATGATCTCAGGGTCATAGGATCGAGCTCCGCCTTGCTGGGCTTGCCCTGGATGTGGAACCTGCTTAAGATTCTCTCTGGGCACCTGGGTGGCTCAGTTGGTTAAGCGTCTGCCTTCAGCTCAGGTCATGATCCCAGGGTCCTGGGATCTAGTTCCGCATCAGGGTCCCTGCTCCTCGGGGAGCCTGCTTCTGCCTCTGCCTCTCTCTCTTTTTGTCTCTCATGAATAAATAAAATCTTTAAAAAAAAAAACATTCTGTTCCTCCTCCTCTGCCCCTCCCTCCCTCCCTCTATAAAAGAAAAAAAAGATGAGAGATATATGTATGTTTTCTTGTTTCTCTCTTTTTTTTTTAAGATTTTATTTATTTGAGATGGAGAGAGAGTATGAGCCAGGGGGGAGGGGCAGAGGGAGAGGGAGAAGCAGGCTTTCCACTGAGCTGGGAGCCCCATGTGGGGCTCGATCCCAGGGCCCCCGGATCATGACCTGACTTAGTCGCCCAGGCACCCCTTGTTTCTCCTTTCTTAAGTAAAAGGTAGCATATTTTATGTGCTCTTTTGCACTTGGCTTTTTTTCCATTAGCAGTATCTCCTGGAACTCACTCCATGTCAGTTCATAGAGATCCCCCTTTTTTTTCTTTTAATAACTAGATAGTAGTCTACTATGTATATACCATGTTTCTTCAACCATTCTCCCATATTTGAACATTTAGGTAGTTTCCATTATTTTGTAACTATAAATAATACTGTAATTAATAACTGCATATGTAGTTTTGTGTATATCTGGTTTTTAATCATCATTCTTGTTTCTAAGTCAGGTCAGATCTTTTTCTTCTAGATGCCTTGTGTGCACCAACTGCAAGTCATCTTTATTACCCTCATAACCAAGATTAATATTTAAATATTATGGCCCAAAATAGAGCTTTTAATTTTTTTAAAAGATTTTATTTACTTATTAGAGAGAAAGAGAGCACATGCACAAGTGGGTGGAGGGGCAGAGGGAGAGGGAGA